GTGAAGGCATCACACAACCAGGTTTCAAACACACTATAGAGCTGTAGTCACCAAGACAGCCTGGTACTGGCAAAAACCAGATACGTGGACCAAAGAAACAGAGAACCCAGAAGTAATCTATGTGTTTACAACTAACTGATTTTGACAGAGTCACCAAAAACATTTATTGGGTAAAGGGACAGTCTGTTTAATAAATGGTGGTGGGAAAATTGCAGAAGAATGAAACTAGACACCTGCCTTTCATCTTATATAAACATAAACTCAAATGGGTTAAAGAATTAAATATCACATTCCAAAGTATAAAATTACTAGGTGAAAACATATAGAAAATGTTGCAGAATGGTCTAGAAAATGATTTTATGGGTAAGGCCTCAAAAGCACAGGCACTGTAAGTAAAAGTAGACAAATTAGATAGTCTTAAGCTAAAAAACTTCTCAGCTTGGCTTGGCACTGTAGCTCAGCGGCTAAGGCGCTGGCCATATACATCAGGGCTGGCCGGTTCGATCCTGGCCCGGGCCTGCTAAACAGCAATGACAACTACAAAAACAACAACAAAAATAACTGGGTGTTGTGGTGGGTGCCTGTAGGCCAGGCTAATAGAGAAGCTGAGCCAAAAGAACCCCTTCAGCCCAAGCATTAGAGGCTTCTGTGAGCTGGAATGCCATAGCACTCTACCCAGGGTGACACAGTGAGACTCTTTCTCAATTACAAACAAACAAAAACAATAAAAATTCAGCAGAAGGAAACAATAATTTAAACAGACAGCTTACAGAATGGGAGAAGATATTTGCAAACTATTTAACTAACAAAGAGTTAATATTCACAATTTATAAGGAACTGAAACGACACAGCAGCAAAAAACCAAATCCAATTAAAAATAGGAAAATGATATCAACAGATATTTATCAAAGGAAGACACACAAGTGTCCAACAAATACTGGAAATCAGGGAAGTGCAAATCATAACCACAATGAGGTATAATCCTACCCCAGCTAGAATAGCTATTAATGAAGATACAAAAAATAACAGATGCTGGCAGGCATGCAGAGAAAAGAGAGCTCTTACATGTACTGTTGGTGGGGAGGTAAGTTAGGATAGCCATTTAGGAGAACACTATGGAGGGTCTTCAAAAAACCCCAAATATGTAGTAGCGCCAATATGTGATCCAATAATCCCACTGCTAGGTACATATTTAAAGAAAAGGAAATCTGTATGTGAGACAGAGATTGGTACCCCCATGTATATACTGCAGCACTATTCACAACAGTCAAGAGATGGAATCAACCTAAGTGACCATCAACGGATAAGGAGATGACAAAAACATGGTTTAAGACACAATGAACTATTATTCAGCCATAGGAAAAAAATAAAATCCTGTCATCTGCGACAGCACAGATCATCTTAGAGGACATCATGTTAAGTGAAACAAGCCAGGCACAGAAAATACTGCATGTTCTCATCAGTACACAGAAACTACAAAAGTTCATCTCATAAAAAAGTAGAGAGTAGAACTGTGGTCATCAGGGATTAGGAAGGGTGGGAGGCAAAAGGGAATAGGCAGAGTTTGGTTAAAGACCCAAAGTTTGAGGGAGACAGGAGGAATTAGTCCCGGTGTTCTACGCATTGTGGGGTGACTGTAGTTAACAGTAAGTTTTTGAGTTCTGTATTTTCAAATAACAAGAACAGAGCATTTTAAGTCTTAGCACAAAGAAACAGTAAATTTCTTAGTACAAAGAAATAAAGGTGATAGATATGCTCAATACCTTGATTTGATTGCTACACATTCTATGCATAGAAATATTATCATGTACTCTGTAAATATGGACAATTATGCGTGAATGTAAAGTAGGGAAGCTAGGGCGCATTCGTGGCATTCTTAAGTGAGACCTTAATGTATTTTCATATAGTAAAACATCTGTAATAGGTGGTTGGCTATTAACTTGGCACTTATATACACTGTATCTCTACTGGCCTAGTAGAAATTAAATAGCTCTTATGGATAAGGCCGCTAGGCTGGAGACCTAAATACTGCATGTAACATTATTTCTACTGGAAGTAGCCCTTGAGTTCAAAAATAAAAACAAAACTCTTTGAAACAAATTGTGAAAATCTATGTGTTGCCCAAAGATTTTGTTGTATGAACTACTAGTCAGTTAGAAGGAAAAGCTCCTTATAGGGAAAGCAGTCAACTACATTTGATTTTGACAAATTAGGAATAGCTGAGATAACTACCAAAGCTGAAGGTATATGTATAGGAGGACTTGAATTATTTCTCATTTTAACTTTATACCTTTTAGAATGAATTAGAAAAATCAGTCACCAGTACAGGAGACAAACAAAATGCTAGTGGCTTATAACTGGGCAACATTTACTGGCATACATTTAGATGGCTAAGTGTATTTATATTTATTCGTACATATCTAAGACATATAATGAATATTTTATTGCTATTGAATAGTTATTTGGCATCAACTTTTAGACAAGGATTATTCTAGATATTAGTATTGGGATCATGTATAAAATAGACATGTTCTTAGCTCCATGCACCTCATAGATTGATATGACAAACTATTAATTAATACAATGCTATAAGGGATAAAAATAGCCACATGTGATCCAACATGTGAAGAATTGCTGACTCTTCAAGAGCAGGTATAACCAAGGATCAGAATGGCGGGTTAGAGTTGATAGCGTGTACAAGGCCAAAGAAGGAAATTTTTACTATTTATTACCTTCTATTGTTCACCTCATTACTTTTAAGACTGACAAGTAAAAATGAATATGTTGAACTTAAATATTTGTGCAACATATTTGACATTAGACTGGAAAGTAAATTAATTTTTAATACTTTATTAACTGGAATTCTCACTTGCATTACCCTTCTTGGGAAAGTCTTAAAACTTTTATCCCTTCCCACACCAATTGTACTTCTATGAATTTTCTAAAAGAATTATTATGAATATATTGAAAAGATAGGGATGGCTAAAGCATATTCTCTGTAGTACCCTTGTGATTAACTATGCATATTATGATATAGCATAAAATGAAATATCTCATTTTTCTTAAAAATTATCATCTAGAAAAAATATAAAAACATGAGAAATTTTTATGTAAAAGTAGGCTATACAACAGAGCATAACATTCTATATTTATATAATATTAACATGTTTATATTTATTTATAAAAAGGCTATTAACTGTGGTTATTATTTGTGGGTGTTATTAATTGAGATTTTTTCTTCCCTTTGCTCATGTGCATTTTATAAAATCATAACTTTTATAATTGTAACATTTCTTAATAAACTCAGTTTGATGCTAGTGAAAACAGAGCATCTCTTAAAAGATGGCTGAGTGGGATTACTTACCCGAGTCCCATCAGCTGACAAACATCATTGGAAATCTGGGCGGTCCAGTTCTCAGCGCAAGCCGTGTGCCATATGCTCTGGATTCTGAACTGCACTAACCCAGCCTTGCTTGTTGTGCCATTGAAAAGGCGCACTAAGGATGCAAAGTGTAGAATGGTGGTTATGAGACTAAAGGTGGGAAATGGGAGATGTCGGCCAATGGGCATAAAGTTCCAGTTAGACGGGAGGAATAGGTGTTCTGGGGATGCAGTGCACAGCATTGCGATTTTAGTTTACAATAATGTACTGTATGTTCTTAGTATATTTCAAAATTACAAAATATCAAATTTGCTCACCACAAAAAGTTTTGAGGTGATGGGTAGGTTTATTAGCTTGGTTTACTCATTCTACATTGTATACGCATATCATAATTTCACTTCATACCCTGTAAATACATACCATTATAATTTGTCAATTTAGAATAATTTTTAAAAAAGACTAACATAAAACAAAAATACATTAAGGAGATTAGATTGGACACAGGGTCATTTACTCTTACAATTGAACAAATTGACTAAGAGCAAATGATGGTCTCTAAACTAAAGATTCTTAGCGTTTAGAGTTTAGGGACTGATCACAGTTTTTCTTAAGAGTAGGTTAGAGGCCCAATATATGATTTATGGCAGAGAAATGCAAGTCATTGCATATTAATACAGCAAACAAACAGAAAATAGAGTTATTTATAAAGATGTGTCTTACAAACTTAGTTTGCAAAAGAAGGAAAAAGCAAGTTTGGGAACAACTTTAGGTACCCCTCACCCTCCTCCAGAAAGCATTTTCTTTGCATTTGCTCTAATATTCTTTGATGTCTATCATCTTCCTCACACTTTTACAACCAATTTGGACAGAATGTTAAGGCTATTAGTGGATAAGTAGGGATCGGACCAAGCTAGGCTAGTTTGTCAAAAAATTAAAAAAAAATAAATAAAAATGAAAACATCTGCAACGTCAGCAATGGTAATCTTACCCAGAAACACAATATTGTAATGCCACGAAATAATGTCAGTGTTTACATTTTTTTCCTATTATGGGAAGAGTTAAGAATACTGACTTTAGAATTAACCAGACAGGTTCAAAACACAGCTCTGGTCTTTATTAGGCATGTGATTTTTGGCTGCTACTTAACTTTACCAAGCCTCAGTTTCCTCATGGCAAAAGTAGAGCTAATTCTTATTAGGGGATATTTTTTTACTGCGCTTATTAACAGAGCATGACATACATTATGTACGTATTGAATATTAGCTTAGGAATAAAAGTAAGACATAGTAATAAGTGTCCATTACTCATAATGTAATTGAGGTCTGGGGATTGGGGGTTGGATTGAAAATGCAGCAGAGCAGAGGAGAGAGTCAGTTCCCATTATGCAGGTGCTCCTGGATGTAGCAATGGACCCGATACTGTAGTCAATATGAGTGGTGCAGAAGTGTCTGCTATGGATGATTGTCTCTATCTGAACATAGGTTGCTCTAGTCCTCATGTAGGCAAACTTAAACAAACCAAGGCCTGCGTGTCAACTTTTCTCCTAATCAGACGGGGACAGAGGAGCTAATCACTGACAAATGTTCATGTCATAAAGCATCATAGTCTGCCCTCAGAAACACACTCATAAACTCCCTTCACACTTGTAAAATCCAAATGGAGAGGCTGAAGCACATAGCAATAAAACATATTTTTCTAAAAATAAGACATACCACAGTGTGCTTCATCTGAGCCGTCCTTACAGTGTGGGTGCCCATCACAGAGGTTCGCCAGGGGAACACACTCTCCATCTGCACACTGAAAATTATCTTCCTTGCAGGGCTCTAGGGGGAAAGAATGTTTATTATACAGGATAAAGAAATTACAAATAAATGATTCTGGAGTACAAATCCCATTGAAGCTTCTGTAAACACTAGTCCTTTGCCATGGCACATGGCACAGCCAGCTTTGACAGTGAACAGCACAGTCCACCTAAGCTGTTCAAAATAGCTCAGAAATAGGGCCAAAGCCAGAACGTGCCTACAGGGAAGTGTGGGCAAAACCTCAGGCTTCTCCTTTGCAGTGGAGTGTAGGGCAATTCCAAGAGATGACGGAGAGGTTTCCGACACATTTCTCCCTCATAATTTCCTCCCTTATAATTGTGTTCCCCATGCCAATGAGCATACAAATAGCTGTTAAACTGTTAAGCTTCTGTATCCAAGGGACACTTCTAAACCTTTACAATAAATAAATGCAGAAGCTGCCTTTTTGTGGGACCCAAGTTGGACTGGACTGGAAACAGAGAGATCAAAGAAAGCCTGGTTGAGTGGAAAAAAGACATCACAAAGAAATGGGAACTTTGCTATAGCAATTAATAAATAATGTGAAAGGAATTTGGGAATGGAGCTCTAAATGAGTACAGCAGTGTTGAAGGCATGGGAATGTATTTGGCATATGGAGAAACAGAAGGAAAATGAAAAGCCTGGGGACTGAGTAAATCCTGAGGCCAGTTACTGGTGGTTATTTCAAGAGTTTGGAGACCTTGTTTAGAGAAAGTAGGTGCTTCTGTTTTCTGAAACTGTTTGGTCTTAAAGATATTTGCCCTGGGAAAGCCCTCATGTCCCTGGAAGAGAGAATCTGGCCTGGTGGACACAGTGCATGCTGGAAGGAGTCTGGGAGCTCTGTGGAGGACCCTGAGAACGGGGCGGTGGCCGGGGATGGAGAGGCTTAACGTCTTATCCTTTACAAGGTGTGCGAACAATCACGACAGGAAGAAAAAGCACACGATGAAAATAAGAAACAGGAAACTTCTATGTTAAAAACTATTAGCCAGGCTCAGTGCCTGTAGCACAGTGGTTATGGAGCCAGCCACATACACTGAGGGTGGTGGGTTCGAACTCGGCCCAGGTCAACTAAACAATGACAATAGCAACACAAAATAGCTGGGCATTGTGGCAGGCACCTGTAGTCCCACGTATTTGGGAGGCTGAGGCAAGAGAATCACTTAAGCCCAAGAGTTTGAGGTTGCTGTGAGCTGTGACACCACGGCACTCTACCAAGGGTGACATAGTAAGAATCTATCTCAAAAAAGAAAAAAAAATAAGAAAGATACTATTAGCCAATATTAAGATAATAATGTAACTGCTACATTGCTTTCAAGGAGACTATATTCAAGTTAAAATGATTTAAAATCCAGATTGTGAAAATCTCCATGGAGACATTCTCAATTTATAAAGATCAAACATAATGACACTTAAAAGGGATCATTCCTGTTGCTTTAGGATCTAGTCTGTACACTCAACTCTGACAGTGTTGGTTAATATTGTTATGCTCTAAAAAGAGGGCACGCTACACGCTACACTTACTAGGAGAAATACCAAGTCTGGTTCAGTGGCTACCAATAGCCATTACTTATCTTTAGCTATTAAAAAATGGGATTAAAGTTCATTCTGAAAAAAGATTAAATAGGGTTTTTTTTGGGGGGGGGAAGTATTTTCATCCACAGAAGTAGAAGACTGATCCAGATGTGGGGTACCATAAGAGAGGGTCAACATCCCATTTCCCAGTTGAAAATTTACTACACTGCAGAACCACAGGGCCAGTGCTTCCAGGGGACTATTGAAGGCATGGTCAATTTTTAAAAAACTCTGACCTTAATATGAAATGAATGTTAAGGCATAAAATTTGGGACACACACTTGTGCGTATGTGATTATATATATGTGTAACTAAATTAAAATTTACCCTTATTCTCTTTTCTATTCTATTCTCACCAATTTTTCCATTCCATTCCATTTTACCTCATCCAATTCCATTCTATTCCACAATAAGAAATGATTTCACTACCCACTTTGTGAAAAATACCAGAATAAGTTGTGAGTAGATAGCGGTGTAAATAAAGATCGGTGAACAATTCCTATGAAATGAATCAGAAGTCAGAACACAGGCCATGTAGACACTGGACAAGATAACTGAGGGGCACCTACGCATCAGACAAAACTGGCTCCCGCACAAAGAAGTGGAGGGATGGAGCCTGGACATTAGGATCGGAAGCTGAGAAGGGTTATGAGAGATCATTTAGGAAGAAGACTACCATAGTTACAGTGCAGTAGTCCAAGGTGAAGGGCGAGTTCTCCAAAAATCCCTCGACTGAGTTCTACGACAGTAACATGTGGCCAGAAGCCAGTATTCACCCAGTGAAAATACAGTGGTGATAAATTTTTCCTATTTCTCTTCCAACATTAGAGCTATGGAAGAAAAGAAAGCAGAAAATAAAATGGAAAATATCTCCCTCCTCCTCCACCTTGGGTTGGGCCAAGTTCTGTGCCTGTGTAGAGGAATAAAAGAAGCTTTCAATGAGATGATGTGAAAGGTTTTTTTTTTTTAAGCCAGTCAAATTTAGCAGTGGAGATACGAAAGTTTTAATGCTATACCTGACTGCACAATCTGAGTCTTGGTGACCCAGTTAAAATGATTTAATACTTGAAGTAACTGGAAAAGAGAAGGGCTCTTCCTAAAATATCTAGGGGGGAAAAGAGAGATTTAAAATAAAATACAGACAGGTGGCACCTGTGGCTCAAAAGGGTAGGGTGCCGGCCCCATATGCTGGAGGTGGCGGGTTCAAACCCAGCCCCCGCTAAATAAATAAATAAATAAAATACAGACAAATAAAACTTTTTTTGTTTTGGCTTATATTGTCATTGAGGTCAGTTATTCTTTAAACCGAATGTACAACATAGTATCTGTAATACACATAATGCCATATTTTCTTACCTTCGTATGCTCAGAGCTTGGTGAAATGTCTGGCACAAAGCAGGGAATAAGTAGATATTTATTAAACATTAAATTATTTGATAATATATTAAGTGACTTATAGTATGCAAAAATCACTATAAACCTTAGTGATAGAGTCCGGATAATACCAAAAATCACTGATATCATACCAAATATCACAAAGATATTTGCACCAGAATGTTTACTACAGCCCAATTCCATAATTGCTAAGTCATGGTTGAAGCCCAAGTGCCCATCGACCCATGAATGGATTAATAAATTGTGGTATATGTACACCATGGAATATCATGCAGCCTTAAAAAAGCTAGAGACTTTACCTCTTTCATGTTTACATGGATGGAGCTAGAACATATTCTTCTTAGCAAAGTATCTCAAGAATGGAAGAAAAAGTATCCAATGTACTCAGCCCTACTATGAAACTAATTTATAAGCACCTACACTTTTATGTGAAAGCTATAACCCAACTATGGCCCAAGAAAAAGGGGAAAGAGGAGAGGGAAGGGAGGGGACCGGGGAGGATGGGTAGAGGGAGGGTGATTGATGGGACCACATCTACAGTGCATTTTACAAAGGTACAAGTTAAATCTACTAAGTGTAGAATATAAATGTCTTTATACAATAACTAAGAAAATGTGGTGAAGGCTATGTTAACCACTTTGATGGAATTATTTCAAATTGTATATAAAACCAGCACACTGTACCCCATAATTGCATTAATGTACACAGCTATGATTTAATTAAAAAAGAGTCTGCATAATATAAAAGACTTTTTAAAATTATAATTTCAAAAAATACAGTAGAACCTCTATAAGTTGACCTCTCTAGGGTCTGTATCAAACTGGTCAACATACGGAGATGGTCAAATTAAGGAACTAGTCCTGCTATACTGATTCATACATGTAGGTTACTTTCTTGTGCAGCTTTTATTAGAGAATATCATACAAAATCATACATAATCAAAAGGCAATAAAATCCTACATATAGTATCATACAAAAGCAATATGTTTATTGTTTTCTCATGGTTTAGTCATTCTTTCTGAAAAGAGTCTTTTTTGGTTTGTTCCTTATTCTTATTACAAAGGTAAGTGGAGAAAGTACTTTCAATGCTGACACCACCATTCAGCATGCTTGGGCATTTTCCCATAGCACATGACTTCAACTGCATTGTCAGATGCCTGGCATCTTCCTTTGGAGTCTCTGCAATTTCTGTGTCACTTGTGCCTTCCACTTCGTCAGCTGCTTCATGCACTTAGGCTGGTCTGCACGCCAGTCAGTATTTTTTTGGAAGTTGCTTCTGGACCAGTTTTGTTACAGTTTTCCCCCTCAAATGCACTGCAACAAAGCTGTCAAAATCTACTCCTTCAAATTCTGGCATGGGAGATGGACTGTCTGATGGGACTAAACTTCAGCTTGAGTTGTGACAAATCCACTTTTCTTGAAACACTTCTATATCATTTCTGGCTGAACTTTATTCCTGGCAGAACTGATCCAGAGGAGAGCATCCAGATTGTTAACTCATGCAGTGGTGAAGTTTCCTCCACAGGTGGACCACAGCTTTGTGTTTCATTAATTTCTCATAGTAGGATATGAGCTCAGTAGTCCATGTTGAGCATTTTGATGATGCCTTGGTCCAGAGATTGGATTTTTGTGGTCGTGTTTGGAGGCAGAAATTTCAGTGTTACGTTTGTAAGATGACTCACTTCCAGGTGGCCAGGACGATTGTCTATCACCAGTAGAAAAGACCATTCCTTCTTCTTTTCTCACAACACCACTTATCCACTCCAAAAATAGGACTCCAGTCATCCAGCACATTTGTTCAATCACCAAGTGATGGGGCAGTCATCTGGGTTCAGGTTCTTGAATGCATGTAAGTTTTGCTGATCTGCCAATCACCAAGGACTTTAGTTTCTCTTCAGTTGAGCTAGTGCAAAGCAGAACTGTGAAACGTCCTATGGAAACACTTGCCACCCTTCATGACAAGACCTTTGTTGGGCATTGCCTTGAAAAAGAGTCTGCACTCATGAGTGTTAGAGATGTTATCATCTTTGAAC